TCATCAGCTGTGACCTGCATTGCTAGACTACATCGCTTGCTAAGAGCAACGGTAACAGTTGCGGCTACACATGTACAGTAGCAATAGTAGTAATAGCAGCAGTAGCAGCAGCAGCAGCAGCAGCAGCAGCAGTAGCAGCAGCAGCAGAAGCAGCAGCAGCAGCAGCAGCAACAACAACAACAACAGTAGTGACAGCAACAGCAACAGCAGCAACAAAAACAGCAGCACCACAGCAGCAGCAGTAACACCACCACCACCAACAGCGGCAGCAGCAGCAGTAGTAGCATCATCATCATCATCATCATCATCATCAGCAGCAGCAGCAGCAGCAGTAGCAGCATCATCAGCAGCAGTAGTAGCAGCAGCAGCAGCAGCAGTAGTAGTAGTAGCATCATCATCATCAGCAGCAGCAGTAGTAGCAGCATCATCATCATCATCATCATCAGCAGCAGCAGCAGCAGCAGCAGCAGCATCACAATCATTACCCCTCACTCACACGCTCTGATCGTATCACTCCTTCCCATCTCACAACTGTTTGCCGCACACTCTCTCAGACAAAGGGAAGCTGCATAGAGCCTCTGCGTAACCTTGACAACAACCACAGCGTGCGTGGTCGTGCAAAGCCGATAGCATACAGCGTGTCAATGGAGAGCGTCACCGATGGTACGAGCAGTGTGACTCATTGAAATGCACGTGAAGTGCCCTATACACTCATCACCCCCCCTTATCTCCCCTAGATGCGCCACATTTGTATCCCCCTTTCTCTCTCTGCCTGTCCGTCTCTCTCGCTCTCTCTCTCTCTCTCTCTCTCTCTCTCTCTCTATTCCGCATATATAAATATTATTTATAGTTAATGGGTGCAGTAATAACGGATGTTACTTGCGGTATCTGTGTATATGGATGGATAGATTGAGGAGAACTTGACATCAAATTGATATCATGCTATTACTATTAGTGTCATTTACTCCTTACTGATAAGGTAATATGTGATATAGAGTATGGTCATGTGTGTGTGTGTGTGTGCGTGCGTGCGTGCGTGCGTAGCGTGCGTGCCGTGTGCGTGCGTGCGTGCGTGGCGTGTGTAGTGTGTGCGTTTGGCGTGTCGTATGATGCGTGTTGTGCTGTGTGCGTGTGTACGTGTGAGTTTAAACGAATGATCAAGACACGTCGAATGATGAAGTGATCATATGTAGAGAAATCGCTTATATACACGTTATATATGTCGTTGGCTGCTGGCTCGTGTGACGAGGGCGGGTTGAGAAGTAAGTAGGTACACGGTCAAAAACGAGAGGTTACAGGAGTGCTTACGAGGGAGGGTTACAGGGAAAGGGAGGAAAGGGAGTTTATATGAGAGAGTGAGAGACGACAGATAGTGAGAGAGGAGAGAGAGAGGACAGGCAGCAGCAACAGAAGAGAGAGAGAGCGGAGAGGG